AGGGAAAGGAGCTCTTCTAGCATGTAGCCCTTGGTCAAAATGGTGTAAAAATAAGTACTTAAATATTGAGATAACAATTGACTGTTTGCATTTTAACGGTCAAAACAGATGGCCTTAACAACGGCATCCAAATAAGGACGACATTCAACAGAAAATAGGAAGTAGAGGGATGACAATGAACAATTTGTTAGTAAAAGGATGAATATGAACAAAATATGAAACTAAAGGGATGGACAGATGGCTTTAACCCTATTCTTTATCGGTAAAGTGGTCATTAACGGATTAACGGACTAAGGGTTTCGTTTGTTACAGCTTCCCAAATGTTTTAATTTTTTGATACTATTTATATTTCATAAATTTAAATTTTTCTCTTAAAAACTTACATTTTTAAATATTTCTTTAACCTTAAAAAAATCATAAACAGTAAAAGATCAAAAACTTTAAATTCATATTTTTCATAAACTTCCGTTTTACTCACTTTTTTCTATTTCGAAAAGCAACTTTTAAATTTTTTCTCTAATAAAAATTTAAACTTATCACTTATGAATAGTGCAAAAAAAAGCAAAAGCTCCAACAAGCTGCATCAAATAGGCCCTTTGAAGGTGTTTGGTGCAAATTGTGAAAAGAACTTTTTGGTCCTAAAAGCACAAGCTTTACCAAACGAGTCAGCTTCTCGAATGTGCCGCAGCTTTCTAGAAGCTCATCTTCTCTCCATTCCTTTGCAAGCCTAGAAGCACCAATTTCTTGCTTCTGCGTGAGCTTCTCGCTTCATGTTTAATGAAATTGACATGGTATTTCCATTTGGCATAAATATGACATAAGGACCCAAACTTACACAAAATTCGCAATGTTGGACCCAAACTTGGATTGCACTCAATTAAGGTCTCAAACTCCACAAAATTTTCAAATAAGGTCCCAATTGGACGGAAAACTAACTTCCGTCAACACCGTTAATGTCTGTCACACTCCGTTAGCTGACTTCGTGACGCCGTTTGTCACGGCTTCCATGGCGTTGCACCTGCACGCCTTTGCATGTTTGGCCGGGGATTCTAGCCAATTACGGCAGCGGTAAACTCGACAGTACTGGATTTGAGCTCACGAAAGGGATTTCTCGTTCATTCCAAGCCTCCACCGGCTGGTCAGGCAGATTTTGGGGCCGAACAAGTTGCAGCTTCGACGAAGCAGGCCAAGGATCATGTGCCACCGGCGACTGTGGCTCCGATCAAATTGAATGCAATGGAGCCGGTGGCGTTCCACCCGCCACTCTGGCGGAATTCACCCTCGGTCCGGGACCACAGACTTCTACGATGTCAGCTTGGTGGATGGCTACAACTTGCCCATGTTTGTGGAAGCAAGC